GAGAAGATAATGGTGCGGTGGCCCGTGAACCTCAACCAAACACCTCTGGTTTTGCTCCGTTGAACTTTTCGATGCGGTCTGTGGAGCAAAAAATGGCAGTGCAAACGGATATTGGAGGCCAATCAGTATACTTTGAAGTCATGTGTGGAGACCATGACGGCGGTCACAAACTTGTCGCCCGGCTGCAGAGTAGGACAAATGAGGTGCAGCAGTTAAACGCCCAACTGGCTCTGCTCCAACGCATGTATAGGATGCGCGAGCAGAGATAAATGTGCTAAAGGCGGAAAATAAGGAGCTGAAGCGGAAGGCCACCGTTATGTTCCGATTTGGAGTCCGCCATATGCTGCAGTGGAGGAGCAGGGAGTAATGATCGTGCCTAGTGGAGTGGGAAACACGGAGGCAACACCGTCAAGGACCGCCTAGGACGGAGGCAAGAAGAAAAGACCGGCGGAATAGGCGAAGAAGTGAGGTCGGTGGGTGGCCGTCTGCAGAAAAGAAAACAAATCTGGTATTGTTTGTGGGGTTGGATGTGCGTTTTTTTTTGTTTTGTTTGTTTTGTTTGTTTGTTTGTTTGTTTGTTTTTTTTTTTTTTTTGTGTTTGGTGTGGAGAACTGTGATCAGGGTTGATCCCTAATATAATAAAACAAAGTTGTTGTGCAAATTTGTATGTGTTTTTTTTTTTTTAAATAAAAAATGTAATGGAAATTATTTGAAAAGGGCTGGCTCACTTTCCGTGGAAAGTGTTTTAAATAAAGAAATAAAAGAGGGAAGTGAGTGCTGGTGTGGGGTAATATAATATAATAAAAAGATATATATATATATATATATATATAAAATAAAGAAAGTTGGGAACAACATGATAAGGGTGTATCTTAAAAGGATAAATAAAGAAAGGGGAAGACAACATGATACGGGTGTGTATGGATGTGATAATGAGAGTGAAACAAACTGGGTAGGTGTGATTAATAAATAAAAGAAGAATGGGTGTGTGTGTATGAAGCTCTGTGAGAGAACTGGGATTGGTCATTGGTTTGGGGAGAGACAACACCCCAAAACTGAGAGAGAGAGAGAGAGAGAGAGACAGCCGCTGCTTTTTTTCTTTTTTCTTTTTTTTTTTTTTTTTTTATTTTTTTTATTTTTACTTCATGGCCTTGAAGAGAGAGAGCTCGAGGATGTTGGAAACACAATAGGTTTCAGAAGGTGATGCTCTTAGCATAAGAGCCAGCAACGGACCTCGCGGATGTGGACGGAGAATCAGAGGAACTTGATAGCCCAGTAGATTAGAGCGGCAGTGACCATGAGACCCGGTAGAGAGTGCCGCCGATGATGCGACCTAGAGGGTACCAGCTCTCGGAATCGAACTAGTTCCAGAACTCGTAAAAGCCCTTCTCGGTCAGGAACAGAGTGGTCCTGTAATTGAAGTAGGGATCGAACTCATGGATCATGCTCTCGTAGCGGAGGACGCTGAAGAGACGACTGATGAAGGCGAGACGTAGACGAGGCGAGGATTGTGACTCGGATCAGGAGAGCCTGCTGAGAGTACGGCTTTGAGGTCAGGAGGGAATGCGAAGCCGAACTCAGCTTCGGCTCGGGCAAACTCGGCGTTGAACAAGCCGGGGTGGACTTGGATACCGGAGTTCCTAAGGTGGGTGATGAATATGACAGCGATAGTGAAGGTATGTGTAGAGGTCTGGCGGGCGGTCAAGGCGAGGCTGCCGCCCGCCGGTGAAGCAGAATTATTAGATTCTAAACCTGCTCTGATACCATGTTAAAATTGATGTATTATTGATTGATGTTTGTTGTTATGTTTACAATTCCTATATATAGAAGAGTTTTGTTGACTCGTTGAGGTCGGGAAAGAGAGTGAGCAGACCACGGGAAGAGGAGGCCATGTTCTGGGTAGCTGAACGGGAAGACGAGGCCATGTTATGGGTTGCTGAGTGTTTCAGAGAAGGGTTGGTTACAGAGTGTTTACAGAGTGTTTCAAGATTTGCAGCTCTTAGAAACAAGCTCTCAGAGAACGAAGAGGTTTCAACTGGTTTGTTATGCTTACAAGCCTCCACCTCCGCTTCGGTTTATAAAGACCATGACGAAGAGGCCGACACGCGCTCTGTCGATCACGTGCATCACCGCGTGTCTGGCGCGCCTTTTGATGGCTCGCCTTTTGATGCAGTGGGCGCGCCTTTTGAGGGCGCGACTTTTGAGGGCTCGATATATATATCTACATGTATATCTTTTGGGCAGCCTATATACACCATCATACAGTATCTCCTACAACGGTCCGACATGACCCTATAAACTGTCCCGACATTGATTCCGGTTAGCATCTCCCTCGGTCCGGTGTGACCTCGTCAACTGTCCAGACTTTCTCTGCTACAACGGTCTGCCACAACCATCCAGTGTCCTCTACAACGTTATGACACACCCATCCAGTGTCCTCTACAACGTTATGACACAACCATCCAGTGTCTTCACTAACGGTCTGACACGACCATATAATGTCTCCTCTCCTCTTTTATTTTATGTATTCGTCTATTTTCTTGTTTTGTTACTCTCTCCAAACTCAAGTTGGTTAGTTCCTATCCCCCTTGAGTTTGCGGGGGCTGTTAAAACCTATCACCTACTTCACCCACTTCACCTACTCCACTACACCTACTCCACCCACTTCACCTACTCCACCTACTACCTATTCTTCTCTTCTATATATAGGAATTGTAAACATAACAACAAACATCAATCAATAATACATCAATTTTAACAAAATTCTTTCAAAAAGACTCAAGAAATCCATGTGGGATTCAATCAAATGTATTGGAGGGAATATTGAAATTTTAATATCCCTCTAAAATTTTTGCTCTCCTTTCAATCAAATTATTTGAATTAAAATCATATGGAGGGAATATTAAATATTTGATTTCATCTTCCAAAATTGAAATTAATAATATTTCAAAATATATTATTATATTTTTCAGTAAAAAAAATATTAAGACAAATATTTAAGATAATTTAATATTTTTAATTTATAATTTTATTACTTATATTTTTATTTAAATATAATTTTAATATATTTATTACGTCACGGTTCAATTCCGGTTCAACCCGACGGTTGAACTGGTGACCCGTCCACCCGATCCTTTTTCAGGTTCGTTCACAGGTCCGGTTTTTAAAACATTGGTTTATTAGTTTATCATTAAAAGTAATCCAGAGAGACTTGTAAACTACAACAGAAAAGCATTAGAAGAAAATTTTGATGATGAAGTAGCACTTCTGCAGTTTCAGTATCAGGATAATGACAGAAAGGAATCATGTTTGTCCACTTGATTTATGTATCACCAAACCCCCCCAGCAGTGCGCACACAAAAACAATGACGACAAAAAAAAAAAATTACAGTTCAGCAAAACATATAACCAAGTGTTGATAGGCATAGCCCTGCAACAACTGAAGGTCAATGGATACACACCTCAGATAGAAACCCATTAAGTGATATACCCCCCAATGCACTTCTCTCTGCAGCATCCTTATAAGGAGCTTCCTCCCAAGGACTGAAATTCAAAACGTCAACGGCTATATGAGATGGTATTCAGCGGAACAAAGCCAACTAAGTCCAAAGTCCATATGCACAGCAGTAAAAATAATAAAACAAAACACACATAAGAAGCCATTGGTTCCAGTGGAAATGCACATGAAATATTATTACTGATGCTGCATAGGCAACCTATGCATGATTACAATTAGAAGTAATTTATTTGATGAGATACATACTAGCAAATGCCAATATTAAAAGTTGCAACCCTGCTACCTGGGGTTCAATCAGAGCATGAAATTTAAACCACAGATGACAAATTCTGTCAACAAAAAATATTTTTAACACAGATTGACATTTTCTTTCCTGTCCTTCACTGATCCATAGACTTTCTCGTCAAATTTAAGCATAACAAGAAGAGGGCATTAGCTAATATTGGTCCCCATTAATTGAGGGTGATGGGAGAGGTAAAACTGCTGGTGGACCTAATCTTTCGCATTGTTCACACAAAGTGGCTGCTCTCAGCTCCAACCCACGTCCGTCAAAATTAAGTGTGAAAGCTAAGATAATTACTAGATCCACATCAGATTCTTGGCATATTTACAAAGGACAGTTTTCTCCAATTTAAAAGCAACATCAATGACCGGGATTAGTGTCTATGTTCATCTCATTCCTCAATATTACAATATTATCAAAAGGAATTAACTGAGATCGATGGCAGAACGTGTCTAGAAAACAACCTTAGATACCAATACTTCAGTATATTTGATCTAATTTCCACATATTGTCACTGCATCCTAATATTAAAGTTAGCCAAGACAAACATCTGGTTGTTTCACATAACAATGAAATTAAAGATACTTACCAAAAAATAAATATACATTACTCACATAATACCATTTCATGCCACCCTTAACCAGAATGCATGAGAGTTTAGGTTTCAACATTTGCAAAAAGTTTATGTGCCAGAATTCACCAGTGTCACATAAGAAGATAATTAAAGCATAAATTGTTTTGCAGGCTATAAACCATATCAGTGATGTAATAATGGTGACTCAAACAAACAGTAATACGATATGTCTCAAAATTGGAAGCAACATGATGAACATGCCAAAGAGCAAGCTTAACTACCCATATGACAATTTAAGCAACTGTAATTGAAAACATAGTTCCATAAAGTACTGCTATAATTTTGCACCCAACACAGACCAATGATTTTTTCAGAGCATGAACAATATTTTCTGACAGAAACATGAAGTTCCTTGCAAAAGTAACAGCTGAAATATATAAGATAAATGTTATGTAGTCTCTACATTATTTACAAACAACTACAGAACACAGCGGGAAAAGTACATCAGTAAATGTACATGTATGCATATATGTAAATATGTCTATGCACATGCTATACACTGCAGCAAATAAGAGAACAAGATTAACAACCAACATTGATTATTGAAAGCAATTCACCTTTCTGGTGCGGTTGAAAATAGATCATCAAGCTCAGAAAAACGCAGGGCTCCATCCTGTTCAGTGCCAAATTTTCCATTCAGAAATTAGGAAACTGTGCATTAGCTGGAATAGCAGAACCTGAAGTGTAAATTTTGTAGGCATACTGCAATCATCCAAGACTGATGGGCTCTTACATAACCTCTACAAAGGCATGTAACTTAGAACCACCAAACACCAGACCTAAAACTGAAAGGCAAATTGCTATCATACAAGAAAGATGAATAAAAGAATGGTCACTTGCATCACCACTAGTGAAGAAATAGGAATCTACCCACAAAAAAAAAAAAAGAAAAAGAAAAAATTCCCCTTAAAGATGATGTTCCTTAAAATTTGCAAAAAGAGATGTTGCATTTCAATGATGACAAGACAACTATCCAACTGGTTGCACCAAGAGAACCTAGCTATGAACCACATAGATTTACCTAACCTAATTCATTGAGTCAGACTCTAAAACAGAAGTAGAGGAGGAAGAACTAATAAATTAGATATGAAAGAGGAAAGAGGGCAATGGTTTGCTAAGAGTAACTCTGGTTGCATATTGGCATTTGGAGGAAAAACATGAAAACATCAACTGCACCCATACAATTGGATGTTTTCCTTTTGACATATTAGTCATACTCCAAACATAAGGAATGTCATCTTTCCTTATGGCTAGTATTATACTAGTAAATAGCTAGTGCATATAAGAGCCAAAACCATGTATGAAATGTCTGAAATTTACAATAAAATTCAGGAACCAAGCATTTGGTGTAAGCAGGGTAGAGACCAACCAAAGGTTCATGAAGTGCCATTATAATTAGTCCATTTCTGATGACAAGAAATTTCTCTAATGACTGTAACCTATATGAATTAGGTCATTCAACCGCTATGACAAGAAAGAAAAAGAAGGGGGGAAAAAGGAAATATTTTCAGTTGTAAAGAATGTGCAACGAATAACAAAGAAGTACAGTGTTGCAAATAGGTCTAGTTTTACAATTAATCACAATATTGATTAGCCACAACTCGTTGTCTACTGATATGTTGCTTATGCATTAATAGCATGAAGGCAAGGATCACCTAATTCAGAAATGAAAAGAAAAAAATTTGGAAACCACACATTGAGTCAGTCCACTTAGAAAGATGTATGGTTAAATATATAATATGATTGTCTGAGCCAGAGAGACTTTGCCGCATGAACTGACACTTTGGCTTTCACACAACCAAATAATATTTGGGAGTCAGATTCCCAATAGAATAAAATTGACAACCAATCATCATTTATCCTCTTACTGTCGGTTGTGGAGCTTATAACCTTAAAGGCTAGATATTCAAGACAATATTACATTTCTAAAATCCTTCAATTATGTAGGCTTAATAATCAAGACTAAGCAACATCTATTATATCCATTCTAACAACATAACCATTTACAGTGCTAGGTAAGTTCCGATTAGGTATTAACTAGCTCAGCTTATCAGCAATTTATCTTCACATTTCTTTTATCATGATTTGCAAGTTATCTTCACTTTCAAGAAATTATGCATAAGACTTCCAACATCACTCTCACATATTACACAGGTGTTGGTTTAGGCTTCCAAATGTTTTAAACTATCCACAAATTTCAACTTTTATTTTCCAAGCAGATCTAAATGTTACCCAAAAAGTTCTTTTAGTTCATAAATATTTATTTTAAACTCCTTCCCCAACCTAATTTATGGTTCTGGTATGGACACAACTTAAGGAGGTGCAATCAAATCAAAGACAGGAAACATGGCACAAAACCAAGAGATACAGGGATGCTTTGTCCATAGTGTATTGGTAAAAGCACCAACATAATATGCTTTTATCTACAAGCGACGACTACGAAAACACTATGAAAACACTCATAAATACCTTATCCATGTCAAACAGACTGAAGACCCCCTTCAGAAACTCCACAGCTTCGCTTGTGAACTCCACACTCTAAAATAAGGCATTTAAAAGGAAGCTTCATTATACAAAAGAATTATTATCCAAAAAAAGTGTCAACTATTTAAAAAAAATTCACATTATTAATGAATATAAACTACTCAAACGATAGATGACTGGATACGGATAAAAAGCGAAGAGAAGTAGTCTTGAATAGCTCAAGTTCTAGCCTCATTTCCAAGCTTGTTCAAGAAACAAGCAACTTTGACCAAGACAACCTCTGGTCGTTGGCACTTGAATTTGTGAAAATGGATCACATGTAAAATTCTTAGTATCAAACAGAATTTGTTACATTTTAAAACTTGTTAGGATACACATCCACGTGATGTGCCAATGAGACAAATATAACTACCTCCTTAAAAGAGGTTGAGTTTGATAAATGTATATTAAATATTTCATTAAGCAAGATGAGTTCAACCAACTACTTTCAAGAGATGTCAAATTTTACCTTTTTCACAAGACATGTCAAGATCAAGCCATCCCATTTTCTCTATTTCAATGGATAACTTCACTCCAAAAGTCAAAACCAATACAATTTAAAAGTTCTGAAACAGAATCAATTGTAAAGCATGTTGACCAAGCAGTTCGTGAGTTCACCAAGCAGACAACAAGGCAAACTCAGACAAGCTAATACTCACTCAAAAAGAGGATGAGTTTTTTAGGTCATCATGAACAAATGTTCAAATAACAGCATAGTTAGTAACATAGTTACTTAACAACATGTATCCAAAAGAGAAATATGTTTCAAAGTGTAATTAAAACAAAGTTCCCTTGATAGATCTTCGGCCTGATTCTACTGAATGAAAATGAGAAACAATTAAGACCATAATATTATTATATTAAAAACAATGAGCAGATGAGAATCCAATTCAATTTCAGAAATACAGTTACCTGATCAGGAGCTTTCTTGGAAGGAATTGAAAGCTGATCGCCCCTGAGCTTAATATCATCATCATAACCAAATTTCCTTAAAACAGTCCAGGTTGTCTCAAGGCGCCCTTTCTCTATAAAAAGAGCATGGAGGAAAAGAAACCCTGTCAAGGTAAGCCCAAACTCATTGACTCCTTCAGGTAGCTTCTCCTGTACAACTCGCTTAACACCCACTATTTCAGCGGGCTGTAACGGAGCATTGAAACATTTAACCTGTTTACAGTATATATAAAATCACTTCACATTGTTAGACACGAGATGCCACAACACTACATGCAAATCCCCCCCCTTTCAAGAATAAATAAATAAATAAATTGACAACTTTAAAGACCCAAGGAAACAACTATCATATGATGAACAGGAGAAAAGAAAAAAGAAAGAAAATACCTGAAACTCATTCAGCTCCATATCATTCAGGGCACCATCCATATCGTGATCACAAAGAATAAATATCCGTTTCAATGCTCTCACACATCGAGGTTTCAAAGCCTGGGTTTCTTGATCAAATAATGGGGCTGTGGGATGAAGAACTGCTTTTTGAGCATAATAAAACACTTCAGGGACCTACAAGCAAATAAGAACAATGTTGTCTATTGTTTTCACCTTGAAGGTCTCCAACATATTGAAGCTCAGCAAAAAGAATAGCAAGGTATCATGGCTGAAATCCAAAATTCAAATAAATATGATTGCAATTCCCAACATCATGTATTGTTCTCAAATATCCAAGTAATTATGAAACTATAATAGAAATTCAAGTTGCACAATCTATTTGTCTATTGTTATCATTCATTATTCATGTGTAATTGTATACAAAGCATATCAAGCAAGGAGGTTGAAAGAAGTTTATTATCAATTCATCAGTGTGAAAATAATAGAATATGCATTTGAGTCAAATGGCAGCCACTTTGTGCAAATAATATTACCCAATCCACCCTTCCCAACACACTCAGTTAACAGGTACCAACAACAATGGGGATATCTTCAATTTTTTAAGACAATGTAGTTTTGAGTAAAATTTATCATGCATCCAGAAAACCAAAAATCAAGCATATGATTGAATAAAAGGAAAATTCTAAACATACATAGAATTCATACAAAAAACTTGACAAGAATAATGCGGCAATGTCATTATTGTAAACAAATCCATCTTCAATGGTATTTTGTTTTGAAATGAAAGGTCTACAATGAACCACATCATTATGTATTAAAATTATCTATAAGTTTTTTTGTTTGTATAGCATTACTCTTGAATAAAATTCGCCATAAGTAAATGCTTATTCATGTAACAAAACTGCAACAAAAATTAAACAATTGTAGCGAACCTGAACCAGATTAGCGGCAGAACATTCTATACAAGTCTCAATCTCCCGAAACTGTTGCATAATTGGTGACATCACCTGCTCTAGACTCATATGGTGACGCTCATCTCGCAAATCTAGCTTGCAACCAACTACAATCACGGGTACCTTCACCTATCCATTGGTAACACAGCATGTCCAAAGAAAATAACAATGAAACTATCATGGTTTTCAACCCAAGAATGTCAGAATAACAAATGAAGCCACGATAAATTTGAAATTTTACAAATGTGTCCAAATTTACAAAAGAGAATGAATCAGTTGTGCACAGAATGTGTGAATTGTAAACCTCAAGTCGACGAAGTTCGTGAAGCCAGAAAGTACTGAGGTGATCAAGAGTCACAGGCTGATCACATGCATAGGTTAGCACCACTGCATCTGCACGCTTCAATTCCTCCGCAAGCTTCCCTCTACTCTCCAAACTAAATTCACCATCAAATTTAAAGAAAGAAAATAAAATAATTATCAAAAACAAAATTCAAATCAGTCAATAAAAGAACTCGCATCTACTTTCTTTCTTTTTTCTTTTCTTTTTTTTTTTTTCAATTTAGACCTTCACGAATATCAATTTACCTCCTTCAACTAAAATCAACACCAAAAAAAAAAAAATACTATAATTTGGTCTCGTTTGGTAGGGCTTATAAGCTGCTTATTTCAACTTTTAGCTTAATTTAAGCTAAAATATTGTGTTTGGTGCAACTTAAGTTAACCAGCTTATAGCTTAAATCAAGCTATTTTTTAGTTTATCTCAAAAGCTGGTCAGGGCATGCTTAAGATTTCGACTAAAGCGAGCAGCTGGTGTAGGGGGGTTTAAATGACTTAAATGCCCCTTCCAAAGTTCATTATTTACGAAACTGCCATTATATATACCCTTTGATCTCTCTTGACCTAAACACTCTCGCCTCTCACACTCCTCTCCTCTTCTCCTCTCCTCTTTGGCGATCGAGAAGAATAGTCGTCCACCTCTCTGATTGCAGTAGATCATGCTTGTAGAACAGTCGTCTACCTCTCCAAGAACAGTCGTCCCCCTGTTTTCCGTTCATCTGCACCGAAAATGTAAGATTTCATGACTATGAAGTTATATATATATGTATGGACATCGATTAGGGTTTTTGTTTTTGGTTATGTGAAATGGTGTGCGAGTTGTGTGTGAGGTTTCTCTTCTCGCTCACTCTCTCTCTCTCTCTGTGATTACTGTGAAATGTCCCTCTTCTTCACTCTGTGATTAGGGTTGAAAACGCCTCTCTCTCTCTTCTTCACTCTCTGATTAGGGTTGAAAACCCCCTTTTTACTGCGATATGTTATTTATTTATTTAATCCTTAAATGTTTTTCAATTTTAAATGCATAAATTTGGTACTGGATAATGGTAGGTGAAATTTGAGTTCAAAGTTAATATTCATTTCATAAGCTTCGTTAATGTGCATCCGATTACAAGAAAAAGAAAAAAAAAAATTGTAGGGTTTCTGCATCCTTAAAAAAATTTGTCTCTCTCTCCCTCTGTTTCTCTCTCTTTTCTCTCTCCCTTCTCTCTTTGATTTTTAGGTGATCTCTTCCATGTTCAAAATCAACCAACAAAGCTACAAACCCTAATCTTCACTTGTAAAATACTTATATATTAATCAATGTATTTCCTCACAACCAAAAATACAAAAACCAGACAGACAGTTACATACTAAGACAGATATATGAAAAAAAGTAAAAGCAAAAGGCCGGGAACAAACAATGAAAAAGAGTGATCTTTCTGTATTTTTGTAACCCAATAAATGATGTGTTTGTTTTCGGTTTTTGTTTATGGCTTGTTTGGGTATTGTTTCAGTACATCTTCTCTGTGACTAACTGAGCTATATTATAATTGTTTTGTTTCTTTATATATATATATATATATTTGACTTGAGTTTAAGTTTAATTGAGCTAATTTTGATTTAAGTTTGAAACTTGGTGAAAATTTAACAATGAAAGAATATTAACATCGGAGAGAGAGAATAAACATTTGTCATTAAGTATGTTTTTTGGAGTACTCAATTTAGATTAAGCATTTTTTTTTTGGTTGTCTTGTTAATGGACTGGCTTTTATCTTGTTGAAGTCTTATTATCATTATAATCACTGTTGTTTGAAGATATTGTTGTATTATCTCTTAGTACAAAATTATTTTTCAGTGTTACGGAGTACTCATATTTTCCTTCTAGTAGATATATGGACTTGTTTGGTTTGATAAGTTAGTGGTTCATTTTCATAATGACAGTTACTTTTTAAACACTCTCTGAATTGAGGACACTGCAAGATCAATTAGTGATATTAATGCTCCTTTATCAAAAGTTTGAAGTATTTAATCTATTTTCTTTGCAAGAAAGATCACCTTAAAAATTAATGTAGGGACATGTCATCCTCTAGTAACTATTCTTCCAGTGCTGAGATCTTGGACTTGGAATATGAGGCTTTGAAATGTGATTTTGGTGTAAGAGCTGCCATAAGGGTTACCAAGTCTGACAAGCCATCAAAAAGGAGATTGTATGTCATTTGTGAGAAGAGAAATTATCAATTTTGGAGGTGGTGTACCCCAAAATCTGTGAGGATGGTAGAGAGGCAGAGAAACGAGACAAATCTTTATCAAAATCAAAACATCGAGACTGTAGGACTAAAAGTCAAGAACCAAATGCTTGAGCAATCCTTAACATTCATGAAGCAGCTTGTTGTGGGTTTGCTCACAATTTGTATTGTTTTGTCAATTACATTACCCTTCAAATGATTGTAGGTGGCTTTTAGATCAAGTGTTTTTGTACTAAGCTGTGTACCCAATAAGGGGTTGTTTGGGATGACCTAAATAAGTGCATTTTTTGTCTTTTTACGAAAAGATGTGCAGAAAAATAGAGAGGTGATGTGATGGAAAAAAGATAAAAAGATGGATTATTTTGTGTACATCAAACTTGGCCTAAATGTTGATACATCTATCCTAGATGCCATGTATGGTTATTTTGTACTAATCTTACGTTTTAATGCAAGCAATGATGATTGAGTATGTGTTAAAGAATTTTTATTCTTTCATAGAATGAGTACCCAAGAGGAAACACAATTTGAAAATAGGAAGAACAAGGGAAAATCCTCTCAAGTACCATTCGTTAAGGCTCATTGGGATGCAAAATCAAATGAAGTTTTTGTTAAGCTTTGTGTTGAGCAAGTGAAGGTTGGACATAGACCTGGTACATACTTAGATAGGGTCGGGTGGGAAAATGTGATAACTAAGTTTAAAATTAAGACTGAAAAAGCATACCAACGAATACAAATGAAAAACCATTGGGATGTGTTGAAAAAAGATTGACTTTTGTGGAATAATCTGTCAAGGGGTGAGACAGGCATAGGCCGTGATACATTGACTGGAGCTATATCTGTATTTGATAAGTGGTGGACCAAGAAATTGAAGGTGAGTGAATTGTTGAAGATGAACATATTCTGTTTGTTTTTTTGTTTAAACAGACCAAATTTTGTTACTTGAAATTGTTAAATTGTTCTTTGTAATTGTTGCAGAGGTCTGCTAAATTTTGGCGTATGCCGTTGCAATTCACTGAAGACTTACATACTTTTCTTAGATGCAGCTGCTACAGGAGAATGGACATACACCCCTACCTCAGGGGTTATGCCTCACACTGATGAGACTGTGGAGGAATTTCATACCCCACATGATGCTGAATTTCATGATGATGCTGATTTGGAGGCGGTTCATCCTTCTGAGTTAAACAAAAAACGTCTATCAAACACTGATGGTTCATCAAATAACAGCAAGACGAAGAAGAAATTTTCTGATGCAGCTCTACTTAACAAGACACTTGATCGTATAGTCAATGTGGTTGAGTCATCTTCAGCAACTTCAACACAAACCTTATCACGATATCCTTCAAGGTAATGGAACTTGGGTGTTACATATAATTAATGTTGTTAGGATATTTCTAATAATGAATAAATATATTTTTATTCTCAATTCTGTAATAGGATTGTATTGGAGCAATTGATGGAACACACATCAAAGCATATATATCTCCAGATAAGCAATCTCGTTTAATAGGTAGAAAGGGATATGCGATTCAAAACATAATAGCCGCATGTGACTTCGATATGTGTTTCACATTTTGCTTGCCAGGATGGGAAGGAAGTGCACACGATACTCGGATCTTCTTAGACACAATTAAAAATCCTAATTATAATTTTCCAAAATCAAAAGAAGGTAACTGTTTTATAATTGATTGCTACAGTAGATGCACCGCACTCACATCTTCATATTTATTTTTACATTTCTAATTGCTTACTTTAATTTCATTTTGGAATTTTAAAATAGATGAGTTTTACTTGGTAGATGTTGGGTATCCAAACATGAAAGGATATCTTATACCTTACAAAGGAGAGAGATATCATCTAGCTCAATTTAAACATAGTTAACCCCCCCCCAAAATGCACAAGAAAAATTCAACCAAGCACATTCATCACTTAGAAGTGTAATAGAAAAAACGTTTGGGGTTTGGAAAACAAGATGGCCGATGATAAAGGATATCCCACCAAACTACAAGTGGACGACCCAAGTCAAACTTGTTTGTGCAACAATGGCAATTCATAATTTCATCCGACAAAGTGAGTTCTGCAATATTGCATTTGACTCTTATGATAGATTCACAGATTATGTGCCTAATGAAGAGGAAGGATCTTCATCTCAACAAGCACGCCATGGAAATGATGTTGCAGGTGATAGCAACGAGATAGAAGTGAGGAGACATAATATTTGTATATCAATTTGTTAACGAAATTAGGAGTTTTTTAAATATCTATGGAGTTTTATTTTTATTGCCTTAATAGTAATTTATTGTATTTTTACTACAATGATATTTTCTTGTTCCCTTGTGAACTCAAATATTTAAAAATATATATATATATAAAAAAAAAATTTGAGGTAATAGAAAACTGTACCAAATTAGGTATTAATTATATCAACTTCCATTAATGAAATAACTTTTTCAAAATTTAAAGTGAAGAAAATGACAAAATTACAAATTTTATATTCATAAAGGCAAAAATGACAATTACATAGCAAAAAGCTATTTTACAGCTTATTTACCAAACACTACTCTACTGCTTAAATCCATAATCTTACAACTGCACCAAACAGCACCAAACATGTTAACAGCTTAAGTTCACCGCAGTAATTTATAATCTGTTAAGTTATAATCTATAATCACTTTTCCCTTATATCAGCTTAAATTATCAAACTGTATCAATGTGAATCTTTCGTCACAGATCCATTGCATAAATGAATGGAAATTGACATGCAAATTGCACATGATATCACAAAATTTGTCAACTGTTTCAACTTAGTTGTCCCACTCGCGTGAATAGTCATAGCTCCCTATACACTACCTATCGATTTATATAATAATTTTTTGGATACATCGGAAAAGTATCGATTTATATAATAATGAATTAAACTATAGTTAGGGTAAAGTGATATTGAGTGACATTTCAAAGATAAACATAAATAAATATATATATATCAGGGCCGGCCCTGCCTTAAGGCAGGTAAGGCTTGTGCCTTAGGCCCCAAATTTTGGCCCAAAAATAGGGCCCCTAAATTTAAAAAATTGTTATAGGACCAATCTTTTTTTTTTATTTTGGCCCAAAAATAGGGCCCCCAAATTTAAAAAATTGTTATAGGCCCAATCTTTTCTTCTTTTTTTTTTTTTGGTTTTAAGATCAATTTAAAGGGCCCCAAATGTTTTATTGGGCCTGTGTATAATTTAGCCCATATTTATTTATAAATGTGTTTGGCCCATATTTATTAAAATAAAAATATATAAATAAAAAAAAAAACAAAAACTGAAAATGTGTTTGGGCCCAATCCAAAATTTATGTGGTGTGGGACAGTGAAAACAACTTTGGAGGCTTTAAAGGGCCCCAAAACTGAAAATGTATTTAAAGAGGCCCAAAATGTGTTTGGGCCCAACCCAACCCAAACCATACATACAAATATAATACACAATAGCATAGCAGTGATGAAACGAAGTGCTTCAGTTTTCAATCTCTGTTTAACAAAACGAAGTGAATCACTCTCCCTCTTGAAGGCAGGCAGACGAAAGCATAGACTCATTCTCCCTCTTTCACACACTCCTACTCTCGGCGATTCACTCTCTGTCACACACTCTCTCTCATGTAAGTCCTTTCTCTCACTATCAGATTTTATTAAATAAAGTTGCCCTAATTTTATTTATTTTTTTTTATATTCTCTCTATCAATTAGTAGAATAATAAATTTGTCATAATTTTTTTATTACCTTCTTTATCCATTAGATTTTAGTGGAATAAATAATTTAGCCCTAATTTTTTTACCTAAGTATTTATCAGTTTTAATTGAATAATTTGTTTGCCCTAATTTTGTTTCATTAAATTATTTTTTTATAATTTATTTGCTATCAGATCAGTAGATTATGATTTGTGGATTGATTTGAAGTGTTTGTGATTTGTGGATTGATTTGAAGTGTTTGTGATTTGTGGATTGAAGTGTTTGTGATTATAGCCATGTTTCCTAGGAAGTATAGTTCTGGAAATGAAAAGAGAAAGAAGAGGATGAAAGTAGAACAATTAATTCAATCTCAATCGGGAGCACTTGATAAATATTTTGGTACCAAGAAACAAGTAGATATTTTGGGTTCAAATGACAATGATGATGAAGATTTGATAATTGAAGAGCCTACTCATTGTGTGAGTAATAATGAGAATGATGATTTGGTGATTGAACAGCCTAGTGAACATATGAATGAGAATGAAAATGAGAATGAGAATGAAGATTTGGAGAATGTAGAATCTAATGAAAGTGAAGATGTCAATGTTGAATGTGGACCTCTAAACATTTATGACCCTAGTAATTGGGACAAGATTGATCAAAATTTAAGGGATTTACTAGTTGAAAGAGGTCCCATAAGAGGTAATGGTGTGAATTTTCCCCTAGATGACAAAAATAGGCATTTTTCTTCTATATTTTACATGCGACAGTTACAAAATGGAGAGAAGCAGGATAGAAAGTGGCTAGTATATTCAGATGCTTCAGACAAAGTGTTTTGCTTTTGTTGCAAGTTGTTTAAGCATGATAGGCTTATGGATATTGATGGGAGAGATTTATTTTCTGAGTTGAAAGTCTTCAAAGATATTTTGCCAAAAGAAATCAGTAGGCCAATTGAGGTGATAAATTATTTGAAATTGATGGATGGTTGTTTTCCAAATGCCTGGATTACGTATAGAATATTATTGACTATTCCAATTACCGTTAGAAATAAGTTTTTCAAAGTTAAAATTGATCAAATCCTAAATTAGATTATACAAACTTAATTAGTGATTTTGCAGCTAAAAATGCAAGAAGAGTAGTATTTAAGTGATCGTTGGGTTAATTGTAAGCTGGATATTGCTAAACTATAAAGCAACAAAATCAGTTTTTAATGTTTTGGAGTCATTATACTGATTTCTTCCTATCTTAATATATAAAATATATTTTAATTTATAATTTTAATGATGTTCAAATATACTTAAATAAAAAATTTATAAATACTTATCATTTTATGCATAAATTTTTTATTAAAAAAATATATATTAGAGGCCCCATTTCACAGGGCGGCTTAGGCCCCACAAATCTCAGGGCCGGCCCTGATATATATATATAGAGATGACATGATCGGTTACCTGGAAGAAGTATCGATGATAGTAACGGGGATGCCGTCGGGGTAGAAGTCGGAGGGGAGGCGAGTAGGAGGCAAAACGGAGGGGACGCTTTCGGGAAAGTTTTCGGAAGCGGCGGCGGCGATCAAGCTTGATTTGCCGGTGCCGCGGTCGCCCACGACGGCGACGCGGACGGTGGTGCGGCCGCCTGCCATTGGAGAGCTGCTGCAATCAATGATCTGCGTAGAGCAGAGAGAGAGAGAATATCAAAAACAAAAAGGATTGAGTTTTTATTATGATTACTTTTATTTATTTATTTATTTAATTGGATTTACATAGTGGGGCCTCTTTTTTGTGGGGGCGGGGATTCAACTGACGGAGTGACTGTCGAAGCCCTAACCGCGGCAATGGCTTTCATGTGTGCAAACTCGCTGCCTTTGTTTGCCAGCTGTCATTTTTATTGGTAGTAATATGTTTGGTTTGTGTTTTTTGGATTAAATTTTTAAAAATTGAATTTTTTTTATTTTCATATTTTTTTATTTTTAGTAAATATTTTTAAAATTTTAAAAATTTTTTTACTTTTTTAGATGCAACTTACTTAGATGTATCTAAAAAATAAAAAATTTGTAAAAAAATATTTTAAAAAATTATTAAATACATAAAAATACAAAAAATGTACCGAGTTCACGTATTTTTTTTGTATTTTTTATATTTAGTGAATTTTTAAAAGGCTTTTTTTACAATTTTTTTACTTTTTTAGTATATTTACGTTAAGTATGTCTAAAAAGTAAGAAAAATTGCTTAAAATATTAAAAAAATTCAATAAAAACAAAAAAATACGAAAAACGAAAAGGTGAAATTTTCTGAAAAGTATTTTTTGAAAAACCTAACCAAGTAATTTTTTTTTTTTAAGTTCCGATTGGTAATGGGCCTTCTCGTTAGCCCAATTACGCGTAGTTCATTTTCAGGACAATCCAAGCAGGCCTGTATTGAACCCAAGACTCAAATTGAAATAAAGAAAATCCTGCCCGGCCCGTTTAATGTTTTGGAGTCAGTATACTGATTTCTTCCTATCTTAATATATAAAATATATTTTAAATTATAATTTTAATGATGTTCAAGTACACTTAAATAAAAAATTTATAAATACTTATCATTTTATGCATAAATTTTTTATTAAAAAAAAATATATTAGAGGCCCCATTTCACAGGGCGGCTTAGCCCCCACAAATCTCAGGGCCGGCCCTGATATATATATAGAGATGACATGATCGGTTACCTGGAAGAAGTATCGATGATAGTAACGGGGATGCCGTCGGGGTAGAAGTCGGAGGGGAGGCGAGTAGGAGGCAAAACGGAGGGGACGCTTTCGGGAAAGTTTTCGGAAGCGGCGGCGGCGATCAAGCTTGATTTGCCGGTGCCGCCGCCGCCCACGACGGCGACGCGGACGGTGGTGCGGCCGCCTGCCATTGGAGAGCTGCTGCAATCAATGATCTGCGTAGAGCAGAGAGAGAGAGAATATCAAAAACAAAAAGGATTGAGTTTTTATCATGATTACTTTTATTTATTTATTTATTTAATTGGATTTACATAGTGGGGCCTCTTTTTTGTGGGGCGGGGATTCAACTGACGGAGTGACTGTCGAAGCCCTAACCGCGGCAATGGCTTTCATGTGTGCAAACTCGCTGCCTTTGTTTGCCAGCTGTCATTTTTATTGGTAGTAATATGTTTGGTTTGTGTTTTTTGGATTAAATTTTTTAAAAATTGAATTTTTTTGTTTTCATATTTTTTTGTTTTTAGTAAATATTTTTAAAATTTTAAATTTTTTTTTACTTTTTTAGATGCAACTTACTTAGATGTATCTAAAAAATAAAAAATTTATAAAAAAATATTTTAAAAAATTATTAAATACATAAAAATACAAAAAATGTACCGAGTTCACGTATTTTTTTCTATTTTTTATATTTGGTGAATTTTTAAAAGGCTTTTTTTACAAATTTTTTACTTTTTAAGTATATTTACGTTAGGTATGTCTAAAAAGTAAGAAAAATTGCTTAAAATATTAAAAAAATTCAATAAAAACAAAAAAATACGAAAAACAAAAATGTGAAATTTTCTGAAAAGTATTTTTTGAAAAACCTAACCAAGTAATTTTTTTTTTTTTAGGTTCCGATTGGTAATGGGCCTTCTCGTTAGCCCAATTACGCGTAGTTCATTTTCAGGACAATCCAAGCAGGCCTGTATTGAACCCAAGACTCAAATTGAAATAAAGAAAATCCTGCCCGGCCCGGATCCATGACCCGGGTTCCTAGAGAAACGAGATAAACAGAATCGAGCCAGAGATTTGGCGCACAAAATCATATAAGACTTAATTTTAATATCATATTAAAATTATTAGAGACATTTAGGGCTGGTTTGGCAAGTGTAAAAATAGTTAAAAAGTCAAAAAGTTACTAAAAAAATTAAAAAGTTATTATTATTCACCAAAAAAATAAAAAAAATAATATACAAATATTAAATACAAATCAACTTTTTTGCCCATCAATTACTGACGTTAGGCCAGTTTCAGGGAAAGGAAAAAAAAAATTGCATGTGTACATTCACTAAGTTTGATGGTAAAGTTGAGCCCGTGAGGGCCCACCATGAATCTCATTTTGATAATACAAATCGTTAAAGATGTAGAACTCGTTTAATACTATATGCCTATAAAAAATCACGTCTATCAGATATCCCTAACTACATGATCAAATTAGTTTTGTATAAAAATTGGATGGTGTTATAGTTAACAATTGACAAAAAAAACTAACACGATCAGATAGCTATCGATATCTAATCAACGTGATTTTTTACAAGCATATAGTACTTGACGAGTTCTACACTTTTAATGGTTCCGATTAGAAAACGGGACCCATGGTAGGCCCCCACAGGCCAAATAATACCATCCAATCAAAGTCCGAAAAGGAGACAATCTTTTCTTATGTATTCACCTAGCCAAATGACTGCCAATCCGTACTACATGCTACCCTATCTTCTCCTACATATTTCTTTATACAATTTTTTAATACACATTTTTTCATAAAAAGTCAAAAAGTTAACCCAAATATCCATATTTTTTTCTCAATTTTTTAATTCAAAAAGATAAAAAAGGATACTTATTTAGGACACCCCAAACAACCCTTTAATTCAAAATTAGTTGACAATTAAGTAAAGAGATATATAAACCATAATAATTAAATTTAAATGAATTAGAGATGGGGAAATATGAGCTAAAGAGATAGAAATTTCACTTTGAGCGGCGCAAATTGCACACAAGTGGTCAATTTCACTAACTTTAATATGAAAAAATAACAATTAGAGAATATCAAATCTCTTGTGGTGCAAATGACAATTGTCAATTTTGAGTTCAATCAACTTTTTAAACCACGAAACCCTACATTATTTTTATTTTTATTTTTATTTTTATTTTTTTGTAAAATTAGAATCAAGAGCTCTTGTAGATTGGTTTTTCCAAAAATTTAGCTTTGAAATATGAACTTGTGGACTTGAATAAGTGGAAGAAGGCTTGCCCATTATATTGAGCTGTCCTTGATCAAATATGAGCTATAGCTAGAGCTAGAGCTAGGTTGTGGTGAATCCAGGCACATAGTTTTTTATTCTCAAAATTGATGTTTATTTGTTCGTAATGCATTCTCAATCATATAATGATATCTCAAAATTTCCTATCATATAGTGTAGTTGAGAATGTTGAAAAATTTATAAAGAGGTAGTTGTGAATTGAAATAGACTCCATTTTGAATGAAATGGTGTAATCTTTCATGATGTCTTTTTGTTTTAAAGCAATGGTCAAACCTCCATTTGAATGAAAAGGTGCAAACCTTTTATGGTGTCTTTTTATTTTAAAGGAAGGGATATGTCCCTTCTTCATACATTTTCTATTCAAATTGAATAGGTGCCAACAAAGCCTATATAAAGGCAGCCACATTCCAATTTTGATTGAATTCGAAAAATTCAGTCTGAAATTCTTGTCTCTTTGCTGTCCATTTTCTTTTAGTGCATTATTTTTCATATAAAATATTAGGAATAAATTTCAAAGAGTTATAGAACACAAGGTTCTAGTTCGCCGGACAAATTTGTTTGAAGTGCATCTACAAATTTGTGAAGATCATTGTATCCCGGGAGATAGATGCCACTCAACCGTAAGCACCGTAGCGGAGCGAATCTGTCTTAAGGACAGAGTGTCACACACTCGACTTGGTCTTAATTTTAATTTGATTTGATAAATAAATCCGGTATGTTATTTATTTATTTTGTTTGATTTTATTTCAAGTTATTTTATTTACACAGAAGATTGATCCAACAATCTTAAGACAGATTCGAATTATTCTGTTTACAGAATTTTTCATTTGTTTCCTTTTCTCTTTCTTCTTTTAAGAAAATTATTTTCTGTAGATTTACAAAATAATATTCTGGTTGGAAAAATAAATAATGATTATATGCTATTTGATAGATAGTAGTAATATACTGTCTTTTTTCTTTGACAACAACTAGTAGTACGATACTGGTGTCATTAACAATTCAGAATATATTTTTGTGAAATTTTTCAAAAATTAATTTTGTGTTTTAGAAATTATTTTCTGAGTTTTCATTACTTATAATTATGTTTTAGTATTTTAATTATTGAAGTGCTATAGAAATTAATTTTCTGTGTGGAATTAATTTGGTTGAATAATTTTTTTTTATTTTCAAATTAATTGAAAAATAAAAGTTATTTTCTTATTTCTTTTATTTTACAGAATTTAATTTCTTGTGTGGAATTAATTTGGTTAAATAAAATTTTATTTTATTTCCAAATTAATTGAAAAATAAAAGTTATAGTTTTTTTTCTTTTATTTTTACAGAATTTAATTTTCTGTGTGGAATTAATTTGTTTAAATAAAATTTTATTTTATTTTCAAATTAATTGGAAAATAAAAGTTACATTCTTGTTTCTTTTATTTTTACGGAATTTAATTCTGTGAATTTGGTTTAATTTTCTGTGTAGTGTAAATTCTAATTATAATTTTGTTTTATATATTAGAATTGATGGCTACTGAAACAAATGCCCAAACAAGTACTACTGTGGTGGCTGCAATGACGCCAACCCCCTCTCCTGTTGTAACAGTACCGGTAAATCACGGTGAAAAGCCAGAGAAGTTCTTAGGAACTGACTTTAAAAGATGGCAACAGAAAATGTTGTTCT